CTCTCTCTCTCTCTCTCTCTCTCTCTCTCTCTCTCTTCCGAGAGTGGTGTCCCAAACCCAGCTGCAGAAAAAAGTTCAATAGCCCAGTCCATCATATCCTGTTCCTTATCCATATGAGCCCCTTACCCCAGCGCCCCCTGTGGGCTGACTCCATTGCTTTGATTCCTCCACCTCCTCCGTCTCTCGCTCTCGCTCTCTCTCTCTATCTTTCTCTCTCTCTCTCTCTCTCTCTCTCTCTCTCTCTCTCTCTCTCTCTCCCCCCTCCCCCACACCTTTTTTTCTTTTTTACAGAGGGGCAAAACCTATAATTTTAGTAAAATTCTGCCGAGTTCGACTAGATTTGATTGTGACCTGGAGGTGGTTGGAGGGCGCGTCAGTGGTAGGACCTTCTTTTTTCCTTTCCCGCTGTTGTTTCTGTCTGTCTTACTTTTTTCCAGCACTAAATGACCATTGTTTTATTTATGTGCTTTTCTTTACTCAAAAACAGATTGTGGCCTTCAAAATCAAACGCTTTTGTTTTTCAAGATCGCCAGTCGTACCTGTCGTTATTGTGCCAAAATGGTACCTTTTTCACTTCCATGTGGGTGGTTGGCGGGTGCTCTGGTGTGGTTTGCTCCTTCTTTCCTATCAAACATCTATCGTCCTTATCTCCCCTCCTTCTTTTTTGTGTTTGTTACTCCCTTGTAACACCTCTAATCTTCGGCTCTTATATGACCTTATTGTGTTGCAAGTGCCGTAAAACGTCTACTAAAACTAAAAACTTTCACTTCCATGAGGGAAAAATTTAGCTGGCCGGCCCCGACTCAGTTCGGTAGAATTCGATTTTCAGTGTGCACTGGCTATAATGACCGCCGAGGAGGACGACAGAGCGCAGTGACCGCAGTGACCGCTGATTTGTCCACACGGCTGGTCACCGTGTCCAGCCAGCATTCATGTCTGATTGACCGACTGATTGGACACTTGGGTTAAATGTATGGCCTCTTAGGTGGGGTGACTGGGTGATGTGTGGTAGTCTGTTAGTGCAATGTGGTCTGGTGTGATGTGGTGTGGTGTGTCTTTGTCTGTTTGTGTTTTTGTGTTTGTTTGTTTGTTTGTGTGTGTGTG